AACTGCAACATTAATACAAGTGCGAGGCGGTAATTCTAGTTTGTGTTGATAACAGCAAAGGCTGCAACTAACGATGATGATCGAATAATCCATTGGTTATTGAAATGATTCGAATGTTGTTGAATATTGTTCATTGAATATCGATGTTAAGATGATGATAATGTTTATTCTTATTTTATTCTTATTTAATTCATTTGAAAAAATATCTCAAAACTGAGGCATCCAATAATGCATTAATAATTATAATTCAGTAATGTAATACATTATTCTGAAATGAGCCATTCTGCATTTCAATTATATCTTTGATGCTAATACTTTTGGACTTTTACTTCAGTAACATTTTGAATGCAGGGCTTCTACTTGTAAGTATTGTTACACTGCTGGATTACTACTTTTACTTAAGTAACCTTAATAAAAAAATCTGCAAATAAATAAAACCGCTAATTTAGGAAACACATTCACCAAGTTCACGACACAAATGTGCCTTATTAAAGAAACACACTGAAACATTGAAAGGGTAGAAGAAAGTCCAATACGACACACTGACGAATACGTTGATCACATGTTAATGATGTTCAATAACGAGCTCACAGTGTTTATTTTTATTTTAACATTCAGATTTGACTGCAGATGTTGCCCCTGCATAGGGTTTGCCTTTAAATAATTACTACTTGTGTAATAGTTTTTAGAATCCCCCATAAACTGATTGTTGTGGCTTAGTTTCATTGTGCTGTACGGCTAGAAGCATTACTTTATTTTGATGTGTCTTTCTGTACTTTCAGCATATGTCTTGATCTTTTGCTCAATTTCTTCTGTACAGATTGTGATGTTATCTTTTATGTTTTCCTCATTTGAGTTATTACTTATTTTTGCATGCTGTGTTTTCTTTAGTAGCAGCTTCTCTGCCACATACAAGGATGCCTTACAGTGGCGGAAAAAAAAACTACAAAGGATTGCCTTGACGAGACACAACCTTGCTTGCAAACTTGCTGTTAACCATAACTGAAGTTGCTTTAATTGCCTAGTATTTAAATATTAACTTTAATATACATTGTCAGTATGGCATTAGAGTTAATTGTTGTGTTTGTTGGTTGTGGAAATGACCTCCCACTGGGTTTATTATAAGTTACATTTTCATGTAGTTACTCCATTTTATATTTATGTATAAAGGGTATATTTTTTACTCAGGTCCAAGAAATATGCAGGAAGCACAAAAGACAGCTTTAAAACACAGGAAGCAGGATATATTCAGTGTTATGGGCAAACACAGAGTAGATGTTGCGCACGTCGTCTCTGCAGGTGCAAAGCTGTATCAAACAGTGGTCGAGTGAGAGGAAATGGTTGACTGTACCTGAATTTGGTCTCCGATGACCTTAGGTCATGAAAAACATTTATGACAGTTTCTCATCTCCTCTTATGAATCAACAGATCTTCTTTCTGCTTTTTAAATCTAATCGTCAGCTTATTTGAACATAATTAGATTTTGCGTTATGGAATCTGCTGTTCACATAATTAAAATACAAAGAAAATGCAGTGGTTGTTGATGCCATGACTTGATCTCACATGCAGTATGTCTGTTGTTATCTGGAAGGCATCTGAATATAAATGAAAAGCAGAAAATGAAAGCTGCTCAGCTATTGTGGCAAAGACAGATTACATGTCTGCGGCTGCCCCGATACTGCAGCAGCTATTTGTCAACATTACTTTCCATTCATTTTAGTGAACACATTGTTGAGATGACAACAGGATAGTCCTCCGCTGTGGTGTGTGAGAAGCTCAAAGTGACGGTGTTGTTTGCATGCTTCTCACTTATCTAAACCCATCAATTTGATTAAACACCCTCAAATGGACGATAATAGATAATAGAGCCTGTTTGAGTCAACTGGACAAGTGGGTCATCACACACAAATGGCTGAAGTGATGAAATGCTCTCACAAATGCAGTCAAGACAAACACTCCCTGCAGCAGTCTGCTAAATAAAAGATGACGAGAAGCAACCAGACAGTTAAAGCGTGATTGTATTTTTATTTTGTTTAGGGATACCAAAAATCCCTTCTTGGATCAAACACTCAATGCACTTCCTGCTTCAACATCTGGAATACATCCAAAAGAAAATTGTCGGAAGGAAACTTTCAGAAAACCGAAACAACCTCAAATCCTTCTTCCTAACAGCCTTGTCAGAACATTGGACTTGATAGAGCTGCGCTGGAAACCATTAATCCATAAACTATTCATGTTTATTTATAAAGAATCTACAAATCTAATCTCTAACCCAGTTTCACCGCTGAATCACCAACCACATCTTGTTGTTGTGTCACTGACGGCTGTTTCCCTCAGTCAGAGGAACAATTGACCAATCGGAGCTTTGCAGATGGGATCCTCCTACATAGCTGTCTAGCTACAACCACAAAAGATTGGGACAAAAAAATGGCAACTAAAATGATCCCAAGCGTGGATGAAATTGACGCAGCTCTGCGGGCTGTTATAAGGCGAGTTACAGAAATAACACATCTTACATTTGCAAATGGCTTTGATCATTGTGACAAAAACATTTCTGCCCTCATACCGCAGCTTTTCTCCCTTCTGAAAACTACATTCAATACAAAGCAAAATAACCCCCATTTCTAAAAGGAACTGGTTAAAATGAACACACCAGACTGAATGAATGCCGCAAAACAAAATGGCACTACCGTCTCGTTAACAGCCTATGAATCCTTTATATGCTTTTGGCCTTTTACATGGTACATCTTGGCACTAATCCTGTTTGGGAATTTTTATTCCAAAGGTGGTCACCCTTGCTAAAAAATGTATTATGTATCTTAGTACTGCAAGTAAACTGCTTGTTTTCTACTCTTGTAACAAACACACAAGTGTAAAAGCATTATATTCTGAATTATTAAAATCAGCAATGCAATATGTTCCTCTTACTGTGAGCCCACAGCTTATTCAACAGGTCTGCAAATTTATGGTTTAATTTTCAGGCTGTGGGATGGTAAAAGATATCTTTATTGGAACTGTGGAACTCCCCACGAGGGTACAGCAAAGTACAAAACTGCAAGAAGCCAAATGCTTGCATGACTGCAATTGTTTTCTGATGCAGTGGTAAACATACTAGAAAGATACTGCTTAGGTGGGGGGTCACGCAATAAAAGCGTGACAAGGTGTTTTGATTTGGTGACCTTGATATCCTGCTGTCCTGCCTTTTATACTGCTTTTTGTTTTTTTTGCCGTGGTTACAGTGCCAGATGATACATTTGGAGTCGGGGACGTTGATTTCTACACCAACTCTCATTAGCTATTGCAGCCCATCATTCTCAAAACTTTAAACCTTTGCGTGTCCGAGGACAGGGTCAGAAATTCTGTCCGACCTTCTCAAACTTAACGAGGTTTGGTGACAGCTGTGCAAGAACGAGACAGTTTCATCCAACACGAGGACTCAAACCTCAAAACTTTTTTAGACAGCTAAATCTGGATTTGGCTGTTTCCTCATTGAGCTGGCCACTAGGAAGGAAGACCGCAGAACGACAGGAGTCTAGACCACCGCGCACTGTCACGCACATGGGACAATAATCTACAAGCGCTAGAATAACAACGATAGAAGCCTTTCTGCTGCTGTACTTTTTTATCTGCGTTAGCTTCATGCTTCAAGTCGTTGACATGACTCGGCTGATGGAGAGGGAGGTGTTACTTTAATTAATTTGCAGTTAAATTGTTCAATCATTTCATTGGTTGTTTCCTCTGATTGCTTTTTGGAGAACATGTCGGGCTGTAGAGTTAATCTTTCGTATGACACTGCAATCACAAACTCAATTTGGCAAAGACTAATTTACATAGTTTAGCTTCCCTGACTCTGAACTGGTCTCCATCTACAGCCCTGAGAGGTACAGTATGTATCAACTGTATATAGGCTCTACAGTGAGAGTACAGGATGTACTAAGACATGCATTGGTTGTGTTCCCGCTGTCCTGAGAGCTGCAGGATGCTAAGAAACAATCCTTCAGATAAACATGGCACAATGAGGCACTCTAAATCTCCCCCAAGAAATCCTGTTGGAGAAGCACTGGAAACATTGCTTCAACTGCACAAAACTCAACCCAACATCCTTTTGTTTCTGTACTTTTCAGTTTGCTTTTGCAAGGACTCTTAGTCATATTGTGAGTGTACTGTATTATGGGTGTAAGCGGGGATTCAGGCCAAAAGCATTCACATTCTTGCATACGTGTTTTCTGTGCCGGTGTAGTACAATGAAGAGAGTCATTAAATACTCATAACAGTACAGTATAGCATCACAGCCTGCAGCACACATGCCTCCACAAACCTTCTGCTTTCATTAACATATTCATGCATAAAAAAAACATTTATCTACTTTTTTAAATACCTTGGTGTCACGTATTTAGCAAAAACACCAATAGTAAACAGAGCGAAGAAAATGTTTACCTTCCTGGGAAGAGTCCAGCAGAAAAAGAGGTTGTGAAGCTGGTTCTTCTTTTATCAAAAACAGATCATTCCCTACCGTTAAAAGTACCGCAAAAGTCTCAGTTAAATCCACATTGGAATGTACAATGTCCCGTGAAAATAATAGAGAAACAACATACAGACTATTACACATATTCACATCATTCCCAACTGCCAAACAGCATACTGTAGATAAAGAAAAGGCCTTTTGTAAAGAAATTCTGAGAGAATTCTCTCTTTAGTAGCCAATTATCATCCCGTTGGTCAATGCAGATTTTCACCATCTCAGTTTCAGTTTTTTAAGCTGTCTCGGGTAAACTGACAACACAAAGCCCTCGATTTCATTACCTCGCCCATGATTGTTTATTTGTACCTAATTACATTTAAATTCAGTTCACACAACAAAAAATGTAAAGTGACAGTTTTGATGTTTAATTCATGTTAACTTTAATTTCTTTGATTTTTATTTTAAACTGTGATGGTATTTTTCTACAGTTTCTCTAAATGATCACATTGACTCGATCTGTAAACTTCCTTGTGTTTAGGGGGGGTGTGCATCTCCCAGTCTGTCAAGATTCCCCGGGAGCCCAAGCAGGGAGAGTTTGACAAGGTCATCCGACGCCTCAGAGAAAACCCAAACGCAAGAGTTGTCATACTTTTTGCCAACGAAGACGATATCAGGTAGGTCCTGGTGATAGCTACGTAACACACCATGGAAGATTAGAAAAACATCAGAGCAACAGCGTCCGTCCAGCAGACCGCTGTGTAACCAATTGCAAAAACAAAATCAAAGTGGAGTTGGTCGGGATGCTGACCTTATCCGTTGCAACATCTGTTTCCTCACCTTTGCAGGCGGCTACTTCATGCAGCTAAAAAGGCCAACCAGACAGGTCATTTCATCTGGGTGGGGTCGGACAGCTGGGGCTCAAAGATCTCTCCGGTTGTGCACCAGGAGGAGATGGCAGAGGGAGCCGTCACCATCCTGCCCAAGCGCCAGTCCATCAAAGGTACAGAGAAGTGCTTTGTGCATATATCAGATCTCCCTGTGTAATAAAACCATGTGCATATTTCAGTGAAATATTCTTTTCATGAGACGCAGGGCTGTATCTGTTTGCAAAAGAATAAAAGATTCTTTGTAATGCTTAACCATTGATCATATGATTATCAAAAGTCGAAAACCTAAAATTCTGTCAAACAGAGCTACAAAGTATATTGAACATAACATGTAATATTGAAGCAATTATACTGTAGAACACATCGGAGCGCCGACTCACAAACTGTCCCAAAACTGTGCTGATACACACTGTGCCAATGACAATGAAATGATCCGTCTAGGGTTTGATCGTTACTTCATCAGCCGAACACTGGAGAACAACAGAAGGAATATCTGGTTTGCTGAGTTCTGGGAGAACAACTTCAGCTGCAAACTCAGCCGCCACGCCGTGAAGAAAGGGTCCGGGCTGAAAAAGTGCACAAGTAAGATACTCCTGCTGTAGAAAGCGCTTTTCAACGTTTTCTTTTTTTTTTTTTTTTTTGTTCAAACTTTTAACCAGCGCGTAAACATTCTTCTGATGTCTTAAGGGACACATTTGGCTCAGGATGTGTTTTGACACCTATTAAAAAAAGAAAAGTGGAGCAGCTATATATTCGATAGTCAAACTCACAGTTAATCTCACAGCTAATTTCAGTGCTGCACTGTATTTCTGCTGACTCTAGTGTGTTTACCCACATGGCTATAACGAGTGAATGGCTCAGCTGGGCTACACGGTGAAAGCTTCAGGCTCAGTGCCATACGTTATATACAGCTGTGGAGAGCACGATCTGTCTTGAGGAAAAACGCTGCGCATTTTATTAAGATTTAAACATCAATTAAGTAGTACAACATATATTTAAAAGATGAGGGATAAACAAATGATCCCTTGTCTTACTTTGGTAAAACTCAATTTTAACTGCTGAAATCAGTTACTCTTTCCTGCACTAATAGTGATTAATATTAAAGATGCTTCATAATAATAACTCCGACGTAATATGTGTAGTGAACATGATAATCATTTGGGTGTCATGATGTGAGAAACATGCTCATCACATAATTATACATTCAAGATATTCCTGATAGTATTATTTAGCAGGGCCAGATATCTTTTTTTTTTAAATTGCATTTGTGCCTATAGCCACGCATGCATATTTATAAGCAGCTGATTAAAACAACTGGTCGACCATATCAATCAGCAACAACAATGACATTTTACTTTATTTATTTAAGAATATATTTAATATATTTAAAAAACAGTACAGTATGACATAGCAGGGCAGCTAATGTTAACAGCTGTTAATCGTAGCATTCAGTGGCTTGTTAGCGCATTAGCTTCACAGAGGGCAACTTAAAAGAGTCGATTTTGTACTTTGTTGTGTTTTCACTTTTTACATTTGTAAAACAAGCCTTTGTGCTTGCTAATGCTGAATGTAATTATTCCACTCACAATTCAGCAAGCTAGCACAACGATGTTACCTTTTATGATACCTAGAAAAATGACAGTTACATCTATAACATGCACTAGTAGTCTTTGTTCCACTCTGCTGCAGCTGCTTTTGTTATATAGACACCCCACATTTTAAATAATTGAAACAAAAATGAAAAATAAATTACAAAGCCACTTACGTATATAGGATACTGACGAGATCCCTAACTGTGTTTTTAAAAACTGTGCAAGGTTTCCAGTATGTGTAGCAAGAATTACAGTACCAATAAAGTAGCCCACCAATTCCCTCAGGTTCATTGTCTGTCAATAGTCTCCCAGTTTAATCTAAAGTAAAAGCACAAAATTAACAATAAAGGGCACTTGCACATTGTATAGAGAGGCTCCCAAAAAAACTAAACAAAAGCATTAGATGAGATGTGCATCCACTACCTGGAAGCATTACAAATTCTTTGGAATCATACATTACAAAAAACTGTACGTGCATGAAGCTCAACATTCGGTCGTCGTTATTTAAAAGAATTCCGCCCCACGCACACGCTAGCTAGCACAGTGACTGACTTTTGCCTACAAATTAACAGTTTAAGAAGTATTTTACATACTTTAAACATGCTAATTTACTTTTCTTACTAAATGAATGAGAAGCTAAATGTTTGTCAACACATGAGTCTCCTTGCTAATGTTAAAATACAACAGAGAAGACACCAACCAGAGGCACACATCTATGGTATAGCTTCTTCACAGTCCAGAGCCTTTTAACTTAACCCAGCAGTAGGTGACATCGACGACAGAACCTAAAGCTCGGTAATTGGATTCTCCAAGTTCCCGAGCTACCTGTTGGAATCATAGACCTCTGTCTTGTACCTTTGACTTGTTTTAAGGAACCAGGCTTTTTGTCACTGATGCTTGCTTCCCAAAGTGACGAGGCCAGTTGAGGACTGAGCTCATACCACAATCTCAAAGCTATAGATCCAGTAATTCTAATGCATTTTTGTCCAATTATCAAGTTTGAATTTACATTTATGAAAAAATTCAATTTCAGGTGCTATTTATTTTAGGAGTGTATGACATTGAGCCCCACATTATGCACACACACATTTGAAATGACAGCAAATTGTATTTGAAATTTAAAGATGGATTACTTTACAGCAAGAACAGAGTCATGTGCAACAAATAAAGATAATGAAAAACGGTATCGTTTCATAACATAATCATGGCCTGTGCGGCGTACACATGAGGGAAAAGCAGGGGGAGACACATCAGATAGATCAGCACATCATTAGGGACACAGAGTTGCAAACTCATCCACTCTCACATTCATACTTTAGGGCAATTTTAAATCTCTTGTCCAGCTGAATAATGTGCTTTAGGTGGAAATCACACACACGGAATCAAAGTAATGACCTTCTTGCTGTGAGGTCGCAGTGCTAACCACTGAGCCACCACTCTGCCCTGGAGGCAGATGTGTGTATGCACGATCTGCATACTTCCCACACAGATACTGGTATCTACAAACGGGAACATGTCGTGATATGCCATGCGAACAGTACGTCCACCCGTGCGTTATTACATGTTTTTGTTTTTTTTATGTTTTCATGGTTTGTATTACAGAGCAGCATTCATGAACATGTTGCAGCAACATTCTTCTTTCTACACGTCGATAATGCAAATCCAAGAATCCAAAATCTACAGCATTCAAAACAAAAATTCAACAATGTGATAATGTTTTTCTCTTAAAACTGAACCTTGCAACCATCAGGTCAGGACCGATTAATCAGTTTGGCCGGCGCCGGCGCAGATAGGACATTTTACAAACAATAGTTATGTGTCAGTGGGTTTTGATAGTGTGCTATGGCTGTGCAGCTACCACCAGTCATCAACACTTTACATCCTACACACAATGAGGTTTCACTGAAAATATCTGTGTGCCTCTGATTAACTCATAATAATATTAGGTATTTAATGATGTTCAGTTATCTAGATTTATTGATTGATTTGTGATTACTTTCAATTAAATGTTCAGTCAATCAGTTACCAGTTTGTACAGTCTGTAATAAGTCAAAGGGGGGGGGGGTGTTGGCCGAATAATTTGCTTTTAAGCTATTGCTTTTGTATCTGCTTTTAAAAATCCACAATCAACTAGTTTTCACTAGTTGTACCAAATAAACCAGCAGCTGAGTGTACTGTGAGTCTCATGCAGCAACATTCTCTTCAATTTTTCTTAATTTTCTGTTAAGAGAAAAAAAGAGAAGTCAACTCCAGATGCACCAAATGTTCTTAACAGTCCAAATTCTCTGTTACCCAGATGTGCCGAATGATCATAAATCGGAGGCGTGTGGCTGATGTACGAACAAAATAAAAACCAAATTGTGTATACGAAGAAAAATAAGGGGAAATGTGTTCATATATTTCTTCCAGAATGAGTTCCGTTACCTTACAATGGTGCATGCACCAGTAATGGCTGGTCATTGTCATTGGGTGATGAGATGTAGATGTCACAAGCTGACAGTAATGTGTTCACTCTCCATGTTTCTGCTAACCTTCACCCTTCCCTCTCACATTTCCATCTGATTGTTTTTCTATAAAACATATTTGTCAGTCAAGCTTCTAGAAGATGTGGTATATCATT